GACCTTTGCTCTCCCGCGCGTGAAAACGGGCGTCGCTCCGATTCGCGATTCCGTAAACAAATAACGCGATCACTTCGAACGGCAACTCTATTTTCCGAGATTTCACGCGTCCCTTCATATCGCGCGCCGTCTTTCACCTTTCCGCTTTTCCTTGAATAATGCATGAGATCCTGTATCCGTTCGTATTACCGCCCTGGCAGTTTGAAATTTACGACGTACATGCCCTACCGCGCGGCGAGTCTTAAGGTCCGGGCACACGAACGAACTTGAGCGATAAAACTTGAGACTTGAGAGAAACGACAAATAAAGACCTGAACGCACGAAAAAAAACTTAAGCAGTAAAACTTAAGACTAAAGGGAAATGACCAGTGACTGTCGGGAACGTAAGCAGCGATTGTGTGACTTAAGCGGTGCTGGAAATTCCAATTGGTTGAAATTCTTAAGTCTTAAATCTTACTGCTCAAGTTCTTTCGTGTGTTTCGAGAACGTAAGCAGCCCTTTCGAAACTCGAGCGATGCCGAAAATTCCGACTGGTTGAAATTCTCAAGGCTGAAGCTGAGAACGCACGAAGAAACTTAAGCAGTAAGATTTAAGACTTCAGGCCCGAGTACACGAGAAAACTTGAGACTTGAAGGAAATGACCAATGAGAGTCGAGAACGTGAGCAGCCATTTGGAAACTTAAGCAATGCCAAAAATTCCGATTGCTTGAAATTCTTAAGTCTTAAGTCTTACCCGTACCGCTTACGTTTCTTCGTGTGTTTCCAGCTTTAAGAATTTCAACCAGTCGGAATTTTCAGCATTGCCTACATTTCAAAATGACTGCTCACGTTCTCGACTCTCATCGGTCAGTTCCCTTAAGGGCCAGTTTCACAAACGTCGTTTAACCGCTAACCCATGGTTAATTGATCCTCTGTCTCTTCTTGGATAACAAGATAGAGAAAGATAGGAAGTCGACTGAACTCTGGTTAACAGTTAACCGACGTTTGTGAAACTGGACCTAAGTCTTGAGTTTTACCGCTCAAGTTAATTTTTGCGCGCGTTTTTAGCTTCACGTTTCGAAAGAGGCTTCAGTCTCGCGGGGGGACGCCGCAGTTTTTTTAATCTGAGACACCTGAGAGCCTCGAGGCGCTAGGTATCGTTCCTCCTCTTCGTTTCGTTAACGATAGTCGCTGAACAACGCGGAACGAATCGTATCACGCTACAATACATCGCGTCGTAAAGTAGATAAAATCGCTGGCCCATAAATATCGCTTGCGATTAAATCGCGTAGGCTAGCGAAAGGTATATAAAAGATTCATTGTCGCGAGAGAGATAGAGACACAGAGAGGACAATTAAACCTGCGAACAAATCGTAAAAGATGAAACTCGTTAACTCGTCGCAGTCGTTCGTGCCAATGACTTTTTATCCATTCGGCTATTAAATAGAGCAACGAGCGCACGCCGAGTTGCCTGTCCCGTTTTTTTTTCATCTCGTTTTTCCCGCCCTCTCCCTCCCCCCTTGCCCCCCCCCTGCCCCCCCCCTACGCCCGCCTTTCTCGTTGTCGCCTTCGTATCTCTGTCCCGCGGAGACGTTCCAAGTACCAGAGTATCGATTATATGGACCCTGTGTGCAGGCTTCATAACTACGCGCGGTCTGACTCTGTCTCTGGATAACCCACCAACACTGACGAGCCTCCCGCATTGTTTGGAGAATTTTTTCTTATCGGTCTCTTTGTAGCGCTGTTGTGTACGCGTAATGTATATATGTACAAATCCGCTGTATCTACAATACCGTAACGTCCGGGGACCCTCTCTCGCCTCCGTTAGTCGGTCGGACGGAATCGGAAACGGCAGACGGAGGTTTCTTTTTCGACTCGCGGAAACGGAATAACGGAAGGGACGACGAATCGGCGGCGGGAAGGGGGGGAGGGTGGAAGATTAAAGAGCGGCGCGTATCGAATCAATATTTTATTACGTATCCCCGGGGAGGAGGAAGGGGGGGGAGCAGCCTTTAATTTCGAAGAGGCGTCGCGGGCGCGCCTATAAAAAGCGCCGGAATGACAGAAGCGCGACGGTAGACGGGGCGGAATTACCGCAGGCGTTTACCTTATCGCCTCCCGGCGCTAATCCCGCCGCAAAGTACGCGGTGAGACGCGCACGCGGGGCTTTAACCGTACGCGGCGCCGTACAACGGTGTATCGCGGCCTCGGCTCGGCTCGGCTCGGCGCGACACCGCGCCGCTTCGGAAACGCAAGCTTTTAAAATTAGGTCGCAGCTTTATAATCGCGAAGTAGTCGAAGGTGGTATTCTTAGACCGCGGATGTGCAGCTGAGCGTAGCGGTTCTTCAAAATCTCCCCCCCCCCTCCTCTCTCTCTCTCTGTGTCTCTGTCTCTGGCTCTGTGGCTCTGGCTCTGGCTCTGGCTCTCTGGTCTCGTTACTCGACATATTATACGACGTGACGATGCTCGACGATGTATCACTCTTGGAGAACAACGTACGAGGCGACGACCTGATGGATAAACATCCATTTCTGGGGGTAACGACACCCGGCCGCCGACCGCCATCGCTCTTGATTAACCCGAACGTCCTCGATTTCGCTTCCGGCAACCGGACGGGAGACCGTAAGACGGATGTATATTCAGTTTTATTCCGCGTGAGGCCGCGCGTATCTGGGGAAACTCGAGCGTTTGATTTGCGGGCGGTGATAGCCTCGGCGTAATAAGATACAAGCTCCCCCCGCACGCGCGTCGCGTCGGCCCCTCGGCGCGGCCGGGGAGCCAATTTTCGATGTTATCAGAGAATATATATGTATATGTTAAGATTTAAAATAACTTGGTTGCAGGTTAAAAATCGAGCCCGCCCTCGTCAACTTTTTTCCCTCCCTTTCTTTCTTTTTGCAACGGAGATCTATATCGGGAGCGCTCGCAGATTGCGCCGGCCTCTGTTCATGAAGGACTAGCACGCGAATACAGTCATCGACCCTATGTTCGGTATATGAGCGGCCGTTACACAATACCATCAAACTGACCTGCAGCAACGTTTTATTCGATATAGACCTCGATGCGGCACGGCGCGGCGCGCGGCGCACGAACGGCTTTCCATCAACGAAAAAGTGTCGACCTTTACCACCGCGGTATATTTTTGTACGCTGCAAATCGTCCTCGTTACGGCGATTCTCGTCGCGCACGTACATACGTGCAGTCTTATCCGTGGACGCCTGGACCCGCACTTTTATCATCATTTTTCTCGTCTGTACGAAATAACTGAGTTTTAGGCCATGTGCATGCACTACCACAGACTTCTATAGAAGCTGCACCGACTACAGCCTGAAACTCATTGACGTATAGCTGAGAATAAAGATTGTGAAAATGTGAATCCTAGTAAAACTGAGGTCCCCAGGCATTAATGAATAAGTCCGTCCGTAAAGCCTTGCGTCCACGATTCAAGAACTGTGTCCAGGTTCTAGTTCCAAGAAATGTGCAACCAATCAACCTGTATCTTTTATGGAAAAGCTGCAAATTGTTTGGCTACACATTTCTCGAAACTAGAACTTGGACCAAGTTCTAGCATCGTGGATACAGGCCTTACGGTCCCTAGTAGCGCAATATATCGGCGCAATATTGGGAAGTAATGTAAATCTAGTATTCCCAATATTGGCCCGATATTGTAAGATGGGCGCCTTCTCTTATTAGTCGATATGTCTACCTAGCAATATTGGTTATTACATTGTTAAATATTGGCCAATGCGCCTCCAATATAAATCTAATATTGTACAATTATTATCGTGCAATATTTACGTTTATTCCGTGGCTCTGCGTTGGACAATATTGGCCAATGCGCTTCTAATATAACCAACATTGGGGCCAATGTTTAGCCAAAGCTATACTGTGCTACTAGGGGCGAGTCAGAGTCCGAGCTTTAAGGCGCGTTTAAAAGGCTGTCGCGGGAAAATCCGATTTTCCCGGCTCCGCGGAGAGTGAGTCGTGTTCTCTCCGCGAGGAAGAAAGGAACGCACGGCTCGACCTTGAAAAGATAAGGTAAGCTCCACGAGCCGTGTGCGTCAAAGCGCGGTAACGCGTGTCGTAAAACGCCCGAGCGGAACGAAGCGAGCGAAAATATATTCAACACAGGACGCGCATTCTTCGCGGAGTGGAATTGTTTGGTCGGATGGGCGCCGCTCCGACGTGAACGAAATATACCACCTCGTACCGCCTTGCGCCTGAAAGGGGCGAGGGGGAGCGAGACCCCCCGAGCGGTGATCCGTCAGTGTCGCGTATGATGGGACTTTGTCTTAACTCAGACCCGCCGTCGATCTTCGTTCGATCCAATATTCGAATTCTCGCCCGAAAAACTAATATATGCTCGTCGTCCATCTCGATCATACGTAATCATGCAAGTTGCACGCTGTCCGACTTCTTCGTGCAACAACTTGAACGATGGCGGGCTCCGCGAGGGGGATTATTCGTAAAGTCCATTCGTACACTGAAAAAAAGAATCTGATAGATTCAACCAGTCGTCCGTTAGAAAATGGACGAGTCAGAATGCCTTTAGGATTTACCGTGGAAGATATTTCATGACCCGAAGTTCGCTAGACTTCACTACACATCTGGGGTGAATCCTAAAGGAATTCTGACTCGGCCATTTTCTAACGGACGATTGGTTGAATCTATCAGTTTTTTTTTTCAGTGTACCGTCGCGATAAAATTACGCGTGTCGGTCGATTTCGCGCGGGCCGCCGGCCGAAAAAGCGAGCGCGCGCTCCAAGAATTAAAACAAAAAAGCCCACCGGTCAAACCGAAAAAAAAGACCCCTTTCGAGTGTGGAACTCGACCAGAGCTCGACTGAAGACCGTATCAGATTTTGAGGTCTGCGTGCGTGCGTGCGCGCGCGCAAGCGGGTGGTGTGTGCGCGCGCGCGTGCACAACCCCACGGCCCGGCGGTCGGGGTGGCGGAGCGCGGGGGTGGGGGTGCCGCGGGACGTCGCGGGGGGCGGGGGGCGCACACTTATCGGTGGTGCACGCATGTGCCTTCACCTACGCCTAGGACGCGCGTGTGTCTGTTACCTTGCCACGGTTTACCACATGTTGCGCTTGGGCGCGAGGGGCGCAAGTCAGCCAGGAGCCCGGGCCATCAGGATAGACGGAATCTCTCCCCCCGGCTCTCGGTCAGTTACGCGATCGCCAGCGAACGATTCGCGCGGCCGGCGCGCACCCCGAGGCTGTGCTCTCTGCTAATCGCTGGCTGCCGATCCCGGAGTGTGCCGCGATCCTCGGAGTGCATCGAACTTGACGGGCCGGGAGGCGCGAACGTCCCTCAGTCATCGCAGCGAAGGGGTGGATCGGCGTGGACGTGTGGGATCCGCCGCTGGTGGCTCGAAGATGCTCGATCAGTGAGCGGGTAATCGCTTTCTCGACAAGGTCGGTACTCATCGGGAACGGGGAAGCCCCGTAAAGTCCCCGTAATTGTGCACGTAGGTACGACGGGATCGGAGATGCGTGCGTGCCGTTCGACATGTTTCGGGGGTTTTCTGCACGAAGTAGATGTAGATAGGACGACGATTCCTTACTTAGTAATTAATAATCGTGGGACTAATGTTACGAGACTAATATTGCAATTGTATGTTGCAGTTTTATATTTCGTTCAGTACAATATGTGTGCATTAATAGCTCTATTAAGGAGGAGAATGTCGTTACGGTCTTTTTTTCTTTTTAAGGACTTCTCGTTTCTCGCGAGTCGATGGAACAACCTGTTGGTGAAGGGAAATATTTTTCTCGTTAAATAAATGATACTCCTCCCACCACTTTATTTCGGCGTAAAATAAAACAGCCTTACCTCATTATAAGCAATTTAAATAGATTAAGTTCCTTTCTCGATCGTTATTACGAGACAGCACGATCCCCCCCGTGCGCTACCCGCGCGTGCCAAAAGTTTGATTATTTTTAAATAACGTCGTACGTTTGTCGCTTAGACGGAATTTCCCCTTCCGTAGGTAATTTATATAGCTTGACGAGCTGCTTTTATACAGTAGCTTTAATACAGTAATTAACACCGCCTATTTCGAGCGATCTATCACCTGCAAAACGTTACGCAAATTTAGATATCCGTGCATTTTGTTGCCCCAATCTATTTTAGCTGGCACGGCACATAAATAATTGATACATCGTTTTAATATATAACGCGGATAAGCCCACCCCGAGCGAGATATAATAAGTTTACCCTTTTCGGCGATACTACGCGCAATTTGAAAAATATTTTAGAACGATTTGACTTTATCGAATTGAAATTTTTCCGGATTTACACATATGCAGATTTCAATTCGCTTCGCCAGCGCGCTCGCGCGCGGTTCATATATTCGTAATGTTACGTACATCCGCCGATATATACTTTCCGTTCACGTCCAAGAGGGATTTAAATAGCGATAATGTGCTCGCTCCTTCGAAAAAGTGGGAATTCCCTTTTCGTGGAACACAATAGGTCCATGTTTTTTCATTATTAACGTTAAAGAGAAGAAATCTGTATCATGTTTCTACGTTAAAAGCGAAATATTGTTAAGCTATATGGGTTTCGTTTTGAAAGCATTAAAGAACGCCGTGATGCACCGCACGAGGCTGGAATAATTTACGCTAGGTGTACATAGAGCACCGAGATTACGAGAGAATTTTCGTTATCGGTAAATAACATGGAGACTGTTGTTCGTAAACAGTTATGGTTGAAACGTTTTGCGTGGAATTATGCGTGAACGAACACATTAAACTGTAATAACTGACATAAATTGCTCCAGCAAGTTATTTAATAATATAACGCTGATGTTTATCGCACTATCCCTGGGATAAAAATCACGTACATTGTCGCGTGTACGAATTATACATAGGCATATACAATATATACATAAACTATTATATGTAGAGAGGAAAGTTCTTTATTGCAAGATAGGATTCTAACATGAGATAGTAGGTTTTCAACGTCCAAAGTCAATCACGAATCTCTTTTCGCAACGATTACGCGATCTAACAATCAATTTTCTGCTAAACAGAATTCACTCCAGGGGCAATAAATTCATGATGGGACCAACACAGATGATGCCAATTAATTTAGCGGAAACTTCGCTGTCTCGTATTAGGAGCCTGTCTCGTAACAGGAGACTTTCCTCTATTACATGTTTATCGCGTATCCAATTTTGTGATTCATTTCTGATTACGCCTATGAATAAAACATGCGGGCGGTTTTTCTATATCTCTGTTCAAATTATAATTAATTAACTAAATACACGAATGTCCCGAGGGAAGGGCGCTGATAACGAGTACAACTAATTTGCATATACAATATTTCCGAGATATGCAAGACGCAATAGTATAACCCGGTTATTCACGGACGGTCAATGATTTCTCGGCTACGGGAAAATAGAGGCGATTGGATTAGTTCCAGAAAATATTTATTGTATCAGCCCGGTACCGGGCAACCCGCGTTACAATGGCACTTTGTCCGGTAATAGGGAGATTCGAATGACGTTGACTTATTGTATTGTGTGCGATACTTACGGTATTGTACAGTGAATCGTGCGCTGTTAAATTCGTGGCGTTAAATTTGAGCTGCCACTGCGCAATTTAACTAAACAACGGAGTCAAATAAGAAACTACAGAAATGAGCCGAGTAGCAAAGTGTGATAACTACACTTTGCGCTGAAATAATAAATTTCGACGCACGTGGTAGTTGAAAATAGCGACATATTGTGCCGGGAGCGGCGACGACTCGTCGTTAAGTCAAGTTTAACGCCACGAATTTAACAGTGTATATTTCCGCAGGTATTTCTTAATGCACAACAATCGTGACCGAAGGTTCGCTAGAGAATTTTGCTGAGAGACGCGAGGACCGCAAAATATTTCTCGCGTCTTTGTGTACTAATTTGTTTTGTGACGTGTGTGTGTGTGTGTGTGTGTACGTGTGATGTGCGTACGAATAATCTAATTATGGCATTTACGCATTTGCACAGGTTCGTGCGCTTAACAGCGCGGTGGAGCGGCCCCAATGCCGGTCAGGAAGGGCCTCCTCGCTCCACAGAATACTTTCTTGGATACTATCGCAACTCGCTTCGATGGAACCCGTAAGTTATCTTCTATATTTGTATCTCCGATACGTGACAATATTACCAAACGCCGTTCGTATGCAACTCGAGTTTTGGAAAGATTCCCCACGCTAATTAGTTTTTTCCGTTACTTTAATTTACACTAACACGCAATTGTTGCAAGGTACATGTACAGTTTGATAGTTTTATTAATAATTAATATGTGCATATTCCAACAAAACTATCGTTTATATAATAAAATATTTGTTTCTCTGCGATCGATAATAATAAGAAATAAAATAATTAATAAATATCATAAATAATAAATATCAATTATAATTTTGAACGAAATATCAAATAGTGCCGGCTGTACCACACTGAAAAAAATTTCTGGTTGAATATGGACGAATCAGATAATTCCTTTAGGATTTACCAGAATTCCTTTAGGATTTACCAGAATTCCTGTAATCCTACAGAAATTCCGGTAAATCCTAAAGGAATTATCTGATTCGTCCATATTCAACCAGAAATTTTTTTCAGTGCAGTTATCGAGCTGAAAAACGAATCGTGTCCTAATTACCGAATAGACTCGATGTTTGTATGTTCCTTTAATATTTTTAATTGGCATATTTTTGAACAAAATTTTACAAACTTGTTTAGAAATTTACAAATATAAGTACATTGTTAATGTCTCGATCATTGAGACAGTTCAATCACTGGGATCTTCGCCTTACAATTCACGCTAATGCATCCCCGTAAATCGCCGGCTAATTTTATCGGTGGAAGCAACTAACGTTTAATCATGACCTTTTAAAGATATAAATCAAATACGACAGGCTCGCCACTTAGGTCCGGGCAAGCTGGAGGCGGCCCAGTAATCTTAACATTAATGTCGCACATAAGATATGATACATAAGAATAAAATTAATGTTAAGATTAATAATTAGAAAATCGTTCAAACGGTTGTATAACACGTGAATTCGCTGACGGTAATGACTCCACTTAAACTGTGTTATATGTCCGAAAGTAACAGCGCGTGGGACAGGCTGGAAAAATCATGTATTGCGAATACCGTCAGCGAATTCACGTGTTATACAACCGTTTGAACGATTTTCTAATTATTTTCCAAAAATGCTATACTTAGCATTCGGTACAATAACCCCCCCTCCACCTAACGAAAACCTGTTACATGTCCGAAAGCAACGACGCGCAGAACAGGTTGGAAAGATACGATGTGAATTCACACATTAATTTTAAAACGCCGCCTTTAGCTAACACGGACCTAAGTGGCGATCTTGTCGCATTTGATTTGTCTGCGGAATTTATTTCCAAAGGTAAAAGGCGGTGAACTGAATCGTGGGGCCGGGTGCCGAAGTCGTCGTTTCTTTAAATTACCTTTGATCCCCGTACGCGAGGGTTGCGCGCCCCTAAATTCTCTCCGCATGTTGCTAAGGGATACGGAAAAAAAAACGATAGGGTTCTTCCTGCTGTCTGCATCGATCCCGGCGTACGTCGGCATTGCAAAAACGTTTTCGAATTAGCGGAGCAGCGAGTTGCAGCGAATAAGATAATATCGTTAATACATCTTTCTCTTTCTCCTTTCTAGTATAAACCGCACGCTTTAAGTTAAACTCGTTCAGTTCCGCGTTTCATCCGTCGGGGTTTATCATTTAGCCTCAACCGAGCCTATAATGCTAATGTCCCTGTATCACGCGGCTTTCCCTAATGCCTCGATGCGTGCATCGGCATTAACTGCGGAGACATTAACGATGCGAGAGGCGTAGGACGTCGGTGCCGATAGGCCAGGTGGTGCGACGTCATGATTATAGCGCGCGTTGCAGCCGTTGGGTGCATAAATCGAGGGCAAATCCTCAAAATGTCCTTTTTCTTTTTGCTAAGCCGCGATTTTATTATTCGTAGCTCCAGGGAAAGAGCTCGGGCCGCAAAACGCAATGGCTTTAGCTCCGGAATTTCAGAGTCAGCAGCGGTTGCCGGAGCAACGCTCATTTAAAGAGATTGCAGAATATAATCCTGCCAAGATATTATTCTCGCGGAAATTTGCGTGTCGATACGGCACGTGATTTTATTATCCAAATTTCGTCCCGTTTCAATCACTTGTCCGCGCGAATCTCCCCCTTATCTCCGCCCTGCGAAGCCGCAAGTTAGTTAACGCCTAACTTTTGTGTGTACCGGCATGAACGTAAACTCTGGTTCCTTCGAGCTAAGAGGAATCTAATTATAAGAAGTAGGTGACGGATCGCGAGCGTCGTCATCTTCAAACGAATTACAGTTAGAATTGCGTCCTTAATCAATATCGGCGTCTTTTTCCTACGACAAGGATACCCGTGGAACTTCATCGATGGCTTTGCAAAGGGTTGCATGTTTCATATATTCTCCTCCTTTTATACACACAGTATTGCGCGCACGCGAATCTATTGATTAACATTCGTTAATCTCCGTTCGTTTATCCTTTTATATGTATATTTCCATATCTCTTTGTCCCGCAGTTTCTGTCCTCCCTTATTTATTCCGTCGTCTAGTCATTGCGCGCTCTAGCCAATTATTTTCTTATTCCTTTGCGGTTACCTCCCGTACATCCTTTTGAAATTGAAAATATTTCGCATTGTGTTTCCCATTCTATTGTTATAGCGACGTATTACGATGCAGTGCTCCGCGTGCAGTTAGATAACCCCTCGCCAAGAACACCTGATAAAAACTTGGTCCGTCGACCCTGCGTCTCGCCGCGTCCCCTCGCCGGCATGGAATATTAATTCGACATCGGCGACACGCGAATCGATCCTGTTTTCAAAGTCGTACATATTTCGCGCATAGAAATTGGCGCGAAGAACATCCTCCTGCGCCCGGCTACCATTGAAACGCGTGCTTTACACTCGATGTCATCATCGATGTATCACGTAACCTGTGAAATCTGATTGCAGCTATTTCGCTCGCGTTACGAACGGCAATTATTAAATGCGTGACTCGAAATTCTGAAATAACGCATATTTATTGTTTACATCGGGAAAACTCTCGGCACGGAAACAAAGGAAAATAATAATATATCGGTGTTATTACAAGTTACATTATGTTTATTGCGTATCAATTGCAAAATATGGGATGCGCGTTGTTTACATATTTATACGATCTACGTACGTGTGTTTAAACGCCTATACAATTTCGCTAAATATCCATTACCGCTGTTATTGTTATTGCCGATATCTTAAGAGCATATTAATATCGTTTGACCTATTTATAAAAATTCATTACGGTCTTTTACATTCAATGTAGCCGTCGTTCTGTCTGTAAAAAAAGTGGAACGTTACAGGTATAATTACGAGCTATTATTGATCAATACGATGATGTATTATCGCATTGTTAAAAAAAAGAAGAGAGGGGAGCTGTGTGTATTTTTTTCAAAAAATATGTTCAACAAATATAGCAGTTATTACCAGCTCCAACTCGGACGTTGCATTGTTCGGGCGTCGGTAAAATTTCTATTTATTGATTTTTAACATTCAGCCAGTGTGTGCCAAAGAATCTGCGAAGCCGGGCTTTTTTTCCCATTCCCGAATCTCTTCCGAATCTACTGATAAAACCTACTCTCTAAAAGTCAATCGGTGCATTGTCACTGAACACAGTTATAAGTACAGCGCTGAATAATTTAAACCTTTAGAGAGCCTTTCCTCAGCGTGCACACGCGCGCGCGCACGCACACACGCACTCACGTTTAGCATTTAGAAATTGATCGAGTCCCAAGTAGAACGTATCGTTCAGTCACGAAAACGTCAAGATGGCACCATTTTTTTATCATTTCTTATGCATCATGGTGACGTCAAAATAGCCCACAGAGAGCACCTATTTGTGACGTCATTAAGACATCAAAATGTTGTAAAAGTGATCTTGTTTTACAAAGCAAAGTTACTTAAATATTATATACATAAAAAATAAATTAAAGTAATACGAGATAAACATAATATATGACTGATCACGCGATCTGTAATAATATAGTATTATACACATCGCGAATATCATAAGGCAGCATGTCATAAATCAGTCATTGCAAAGTAAATCCTGATGTCGGTCTCATCTTTTCGCGTAAAGTTCATCATTTTGATGTTCACATTGACGCTCCTGTGACTAACTTGCTCCACTTGGGATATACATATGCGCTTTTACTACCCCCGCCAGGGCATTTTTCTAATTTGAAAAAGTACATAGCTGGGCCCGGAGTTGAGGATGCATTACGACAAGCAGTCGTAAAAAGTCAATGGGGTCTGCCGAATCGTAACTCTTTTTACTCCGCGTGTAACGCGAAATAACTGGCAATAACTAGAACGCACCCCGCGACGGTTGTTGCCGCGACTTGAAGAAGAACACTTTGAAGACACACGGGAATTGGAATGCCGTAAAGGAGATAGGTGCACGGTGAGTGTGACCAGTATCCCCGGCGGCTTGCAACTTTCAGTTATACGGTGCACGGCCCCCACGCGGATCGTATCCACTCGGCATCACTATAGCTGTCACAATGTTTCGACGTACGTACGCATGCACGTTACGCGACGCCGACACGTTGCGAGAGCGAGTTTCAATCCGCGTGCGTATTACCTTCTACATCAAAAAGTCCTGGGCTCTTCACGCTCTATGACACATACGTACTGTCGCGACGTTAATTTTCGACGCTTTGTGCACCGCGTTGCCACGTGTGCACAAAGTGTCGATGTAGCACGCTAATTGCCGCGATAACTTACATCTCTGACAAATAAATCCCGGTTAATTTTCAGCACATTAATGACGTCGATCGTCGCTCAATCGTTTTGTATTTAGCGCTTGGAAGTCTGTGACGACGGCCAAAACTCGCATTGGCCAAGCCCGAAAACGAGAATAGATCGGTGAAAAATGACCCGAGAGGGATGTCGATGGTACCGTAATCCCTGTAACTCGTGACTGGTAATAAACGTCGGGATAATATCGCGCGGGACTGTGTAAAATGTGACTTTTGCACATCGCGAGCGGAGCGCAAAAATATTAAAACCCGTTTAAGAAACTCGCGAGCTGTGCCAGCACAGTGCTAAAATTAAGATGGCATTCACGGAGGTATGATTTCTGCTGGATGCCGTACGTCAATCAGAACTTTGAGAACTGCGTGTAAACAGCGAAGGATATGTTTGGTGCATATGCAACGCTCGCGAACTGCTACTCTTGCAAAGTTACGGTATAATTAATTCTTGAGCGAAAAGTTCAATCCGCTGCGCATATTTATTATGTACCGTAATGCACAAAGCGAGCTCCCAATTCTCCTTCGTGTTTATCTATTCCTTTGGTGAATAGAAAACGCTTACGAATAATCCACGTATCGATCCAGGCGACGAGGGTAATGATGATTACTAAATATGGATAGCTCGTATCTTATCGTAAATAATAACGGGTACTGACGCAGATAGATAACCGTAGAACGATGCACGCACTTATCGGCGCTTTGCTCTCGATACATTGATAAACTATAATGTTCAACGACAAAACAATTACGAAAATAGTTTAAAGGGCCAAATCGGTTAACGGAAAGTCTCGAATTCTAGAACCATTCTAGAAGCAATGTCCTAGCCAAACTCGAACTTTGTAATTATTTCTCAGCGACATACTTTAAAAACAAACGTCATTTGCAGCTACAGATGTTACTTTTATTCGTATTCATTCGTCGTTAGAAAGAAAAGCCTGAATTAAAGGTCACGATATCAGCGACGCGGTCTAACGTATCGGCCATATTTCTCCCCAAAAGATCCCGACATATATTTGATGAGACCAACGAACAGAGTTGGTCACACGGGATTTCATAAGCTTCGGCTCCCACGTATCCCAGGGTTAATATCCTGTTACCCACGTCAGGAAAGCATTGTAATGCAAAGGGAAAAAGTTTTCTTGTTCCCGAGAAAAAAAGACTAAAGTTATCGTATGAAACTGTAGAGATTGGACAAAAACTGTTTGGGGAAGAGAATGAATATCGTTTCGACCGGGGGGGAAAAAAAGAATGAGATTTGATATTACAATATGAATGATCATGTGATGTGACAAACCTGTAAATTATTCCTCCGCATCATTTCCTCTCGGCTGTATTGCGCGCATGTTGACCGCGGTATGCAGCTAAGATTTATTGCACGGAACCGCGATTGCGAATCAGATTGCGTGATAGCGAAATCTGGGATTGTTTGAAAAATTCGCGACGGCACGATGATGGAAAATGAAATCGATTTAAGCCACAAATGTATACAGGCGCACGTGCGTACGTGTGTGCGCGGGTGTACGTGTGTGTATTTGTCGTTTTACTTGTCTCCCCGACCCTTCCTATTTCAAATTTCACGATTAAACCCAGCGATTTCTCGTTTCCCCCGGCGGAGAATACCAAGTTGCCGGGAACATTTCTAATAAACTTGCTTGAATAATAAATCTACCGCCCTCGAAATTAGCCTGATAGGAAAATTTAGATGCCGCAACATCGCGGATTGAATCCTTATCTTTTCAAAAAGCAGAGAGATATATTTCCCAATAGTTTAATAGAAATATTGTCCAATTCTGTAAAAATTCGAGCAACGAAACGTAAAAAAAACTCACACGAATAATATTCAATGCTATGAGAATCGTTAAATATTTTGAAAGCTCAATTGTGAAACGTAGAAACTCGTACGAGAGCAAAAAGCGTGCGCGTGGCGAAATATACCAAATGAGGAAATATACTAGTTATCTAAATGCTTGATTAAAGCCCATTCCCGGCTTTATATCTCACCTTTTGTATCCGCCGCACGCAATTTTGTGTACCGCAGCTGCATATGCAACGCGACCTGTGCGGAATGCGATTCTTAGAGGGGATCGTGGAAAATGTCTGGGATTGGAAAACGCGCGCCGTGACCGCCTTACGTAATCGAGTTGTAGCAGATTATATTATAACTAAGTCTTTAGCAGGTGCGCATCGGAAGTGGCAACATCGTTCCGTTTTCCAACGCTTCCAATACCTGACGAACTACGGGCGTAAGTCTACGTCGCTTATGATCCACTGTCTGCAACGCGCACGATAGCATCTCTCGCTGCGCCCGCGAGAGATGCAACACGCGAACGCGGAAAACAATGGATAGCTCTCCTTTGGCAGGTCAATAACCGTTCGCGTAATATCGAAGAGGCTATACGTATATATAATATCGACCCGCGGTCGCGCTGATAATGTGTTTTAACCTCGCGAGAATAGTATATCGCGCAAGAATACGTATCGCTTTGTAAAGCTCGGAGATGAATATTCGCCCAAGTTAGATTGCTTCGGGCCAAGTTTCGCCGGTTCGACCACTTTTGCGCGTTTCAATCTTGGAAATACAAATAACGGTGACAATGTCATCTCCGTTCGGTCAGTATCGTCAAATTTAAATCTGAAACAAATACGCCCGGCCATCTGACCGTCCTCCGCGATCTCTCGGCGAGATTGCACCGCGAAATTTTGACGGGAACGTCTTTCATGCAAATCCAAGGGAGGGGGAGGATCGCCGACGGCTAATAAAATTATCCTATTAAATTATCCCTATTCGAACTCACTTGCAACTAAATCCGCGAAACGTGACGATGCTCGCAAGGTCGTCGAGTATCCATACCTTACGTGTGTTATTCCTGTAAATCCGTGATGGCCCTGATAATGTCGCGATTAAACATTGACACGCGACTGAAACTGGCACTGTGTGAAGTAATATTATTATTTTCGGCTGAACATCACGTATATTTTAATCCATGAATATTCTATGAGCCAAAGACAACAGGGAACGTGACTGCAGTAGATAATAGCAACGGATGTACATCGTACGAACGTATCGCGTGCTATTCTCTATATTCTTGATAATTCACGACAATTAGCTTGTAGCCATTGTTTTAATTGAATTTGCGCGTAAGTGCTTGTTATCGAAACCACTGATACGCCACGAAAATACCAAATCGCGCTGTTGTGTCAACGACAAAATGCTAAAAATCATATATTTCGCCTTTGTCCCGTTAAGTAAATTGCGTGGTGTTTTCGCTCTTTCTCGTTGTAGTTTTGCAACCAACTGTACGACCCTCCAAAATGTTCACGAATGATTTTCTCGTCAACGTCCGCCGAAATTGTAACGAGTGATTATCGCAAGAGGATTGGAAAATTACAAATAACGATTAATGCGCGCAACTTGATATATCAGTCCATATATCTATCTTGATATATCTAGCTGCAAGTCCATGAAATACGAAACACTGCGTGTACATCGGATTAACGAGTGCGGAAACCAGTAATCGCGTTTGGTAAAACGAATCGTTTTGCGATTTTTCGAATTCTATATATTTTGTAAAGAGCGCAAAATCTCTACTCTACTTCTGAGAACTTTAAACTATTTAAACTTCGATTACCGTGGCTTGAAATAATGGAATTCTCGGGAAATTCTATTGCAGAGCTCACGTTTTTTGCCGTATTCAATACACCTTTTTAGATACGTTCGAGAAAAATCCGATACTAAGGGCGCGGAAACACGTCGCTTGAAACCTAGTAGAATAAAAATTGGATCAAGAGAAACCGTTGATCGCTGAGCGGAACAACTGGAAGTGTGCGTGAAAGAAACTAATTGACGCTTTGATACCGAGTAATTAGTTGTTCCGTTTGATGAGTCATTCCGGCTATAACTTACGCAATTTGCCCGGAGTTCGGAAGCCCCGTGGGATCCCGGTAATTATTTGGTGCTACCGCCTCCAGGGCAATCGGGCGAAACTACACCCGGGACTTTACCCCGGACAACTCGTTCGCCACTCGCCCTAATAATCGTTTAGCAGTTTGTGATCGATTTATCACCGCAACTTACAAACTGACTATTCAGTCATGCTCCGAATATTGCGGGCGCCTTTAATCCTGCAGTTTTCTCTTCTTTTATATCGCGACTCGCGTAGCGATTTTTCTTACGAAAACGACTACCTTACTCTGGGAAAAGAAAGACGGCTAGCAATCCATTTTGGGGCCCACAATTAGTAATCGAATTATTTGGACTGTTCGTAGCTCTAATCTTTTACGAATCTCACCCCGCGTAACTGAAAGTCGCAATTAGCTGTTCTGTCTATATCCAAGATTTTTAAGTAATACTAATCAATTCTCTCAGTTAGCTCTGTCGATATTCAGTAACGCAAAGATCATTTTCGCATAAGAGGCACTAACCGAAGTGTTAAGTTGCTTAACTATCAAAAAATACGGTCAAAATTTTTCCCAGAGTAGAATTACGAACAATTCAAGTAATTTGACTACCAATTGTGGGCCACAAAATGGGTTCCCGACTCGTTTTTTCCCAGAGTGCGCACACCTTTTTTAAGATTGTGCTCGAGAAGGACCTGAGCCACAGTTCGACATACATTTCTTTATCGTTGTCTATTACTGGCAACCTTAAGAATCTTTAATTTTGACGTTTCTAGCATTGGCCTCATTCAGCGGAGAAAACTGTTCAGTGAGCGCTTGCGCCGATTGGATTATTCCTTAAAAATCTAGAAGAATAGTTCTATCGCAGCACAGATCTAAAAGTACAACCCAATCAGCGCGAAGCGCTCACTGGGCAACTTTCTCCGCTGAACGCGGAACATTGTACATTGCGGTGCACCAATTCGGTTCGGATCGTCAAAAAGCGCCTCTGTTTAAATAATGAAGTGATATTTTAGCCCGTCTTTAATTGTTACCCGAACCGAATGAACGCATCGTGCTGTACTTTACCATTGTACCCTATCGCGTTTCCAAGGCCAATGACGCAAGGCACTGGGAACAATCGAGAATTGCGTAAGTCGCTGTGCTGTCGATAATCAAGTTGATGACGTCTCAGAAAACAAAAGGACGCGTGGTGCAAACGTTGCAATAGTTAATTACCCGGGTTGTTGGACGGTGGTCAATGATACTGACGTCATCGTAGTGTCTAAGGGTAAAAGCGACGGCGATTTTTTTAGCATTGCACTTGACCTTGAGATTTTTCCCGCTTTTCCTATCTCGTGGCATACGGAATGACGCCTCCTGCGGATGACGACAATCCTAAGTAAAGTGTTGCGACACGTCATTATGCAGCGGCGCTTGCCGCACGCTGTGCTTGCTCAGGATTCACACATTACACCCGAACGCGAGGGCTCAGAGGCGGAAAACGCGTAACTCGTGAGATGCATTTAAATTAATACGACGAGCGGTTAATGCGATATTGTTTTGCGAACACGCGCGTTTCCTCGGGCATAAATTTCGTCGGTAAAACGAGGTCGTTTCGCGCGAGCGTGTATGGAAATTATCGGCCATCCGCCGATGGCAGGGCCAGCGAGACTCCGTGGTGTCACAGAGCAATGACGTGATTTTTTTTTCCAAACGAATAAACGCCGGACACATACGCGCGCGTCCCTGTCTTTCGGGTTAAACGGTAAGAGCTTTCACGCGTGCACGAACGCCCTTATCAGTGCAGGACATGCACATCCTGCATTGCTCTCCTTTGTCCCGCGCGAGTGTCTGAGCCGATCGTAAGGAAGTATCCGGAAACGGCGCCGCGTCGTTCGATGATTATAGCCACCCTTCATGCGACGTGGAAAATAGGAATTAACGCGAATAAAGTTGAACCGTGAAGGGATTATCGACTAAAAATACGCCCCTGGGGGGAAAGCTGCGCTCCTCCTTTGGGGCGTTTGATTAAAATGTCAGATTTTTAGGTGCACTTTTGCATCGCATGAAATCCTGTGCGAGCGCAGGCAAACGCATATTTTAAAACAGAATTATAAAAGAGGACTGGTTGGTTACAAAAAAAAATATGTAAAATCGGATGAAGAGGACTGGCACTTTATACATGACAGTTTTTCCCCCCCCCCCCCCCCCGATACGTTGATGTTAAAGAGTGAATTTTGTGGATTACAAAACTGGACGGCATCTTTTTTTTATACGTCACGGAGTAACTTCCGATAATGTAATTTCGGCAAATAACTTGCACGCCCTTAAAAGGGCGCTTTTGTCGTTATCAATTGCGATCAATCTTCGATATACATACGTATATATATGTATCTAATACGTGTGTCTCACTTCTGTTCGCAGACAGCAACTTTGTACTGGGAAATGCGCAGGTTCCGTCGATCTATCCGATCGTCTACTGCTCCGATGGATTCTGCGAGCTGACAGGATTTGCGCGAGCGCAAATCATGCAGAAGGGTTGCGCTTGCAAGTTTCTCTATGGGCCGGAAACGAAGGAGGAAGAAAAGGCCATGATCGACAAGAGCCTCGAGAGCAAGACGGAATTGAAAATGGAGGTTGTCTTCTACAAGAAGAACGGTGAGTTCTCCCCAAGATATCCAATGACGGGGGTGTTTCTGAACCGTGAGCGATCGCACGATGAGCATTACGCCCGGCGTCGTAAAAGATTACCTCCGCTTCCATCACAAGAGAGTATACATACTTTACGATGCGTATCTTTAATCCTGGTCTTTCAGGAAAATTACAGCCATTTGCGGTTTGGCTGTTATCGCTTAAATTTTCCTTTACTTAAATACAAGTCTCACAGTCTTGGCGTAGTTACATTTAATTTTCCAATCTTTTAAGATACATGGAAAAATTAAGAATAAGTGATTATTAAAAGACCAACATTTCGTTACGTCGCAGTTTTATGCGACTTCCATCACAAGAGAGTAATACATACTCTACGTTGCGTATCTTTAATCCCGGTTTTTCAGGAAAATTACAGCCATTTGCGGTTTGGCTGTTATCGCTTAAATTTTCCTTTACTTAAATTGTACAAGTCTCAAAGTCTTGGCATAGTTACATTTAATTTTCCAATCTTTTAAGATACATGGAAAAATTAAGAATAAGTGATTATTAAAAGAACAATTTCGTTACGTCGCAGTTTTATGCGACTTCCATCACAAGAGAGTAACACATACTCTACGATGCGTATCTTTAATCCTGGTCTTTCAGGAAAATTACAGCCATTTGCGGTTTGGCTGTTATCGCTTAACTTTCCTTTATTTAAACTGTACAACCTACAGTCTCGGTGTATATTACATTTAACTTTCCAATCTTTTAAGATACGGAAAAATTCAGAATAAGAGATTATTAAAAGAAAAACATTGCGTTACGTCGCAGTTTCATGCGAGTGTAACGTAATGTAACGTATGGTATGAATAACGCGTGATGTATTATGGCGAAGAGTATAAAATCTTTAATGTTACATCCATATTTAAAAGAGCGAGTGAAAGAAATGGAGGAAGAGGGAGATCCCACGCGATGGGAGTCATTATTAATTTACATTTTTCGAGCTTGGGCGACATTAAGGAATACGATATTTTCCAAGGAAAATTCGCTATGCAAAACCAAATGGAGTAATCTTGTGCCTGCGTCGCTGACTGGCGCTCTTCGTTTTTCCTTGGCGCTACGAGAAAAATCAATCTACGGCGAAGCTAATCGAGAGGCCTTTCGCAATATACTCCACATTACTGTCTTGACCCGGAATTTACTTGCACGGCAGTGCAGTTTAGCTAAAATTTTTCCATCGGGCTGAAGAACGCGAGTCAATCGTCAATTCGCGAGCTTGCGCAAGGCCGATGCAACGCCGCGGGAAGGCAAACGATTGTTTCGTTTGTCTTTCTCGCTACGTCTCTCTAGAAAAGTCACGTTATAGTCTTCGTCGTTTACAGCAAGCGTCACCGTTCACAAACGCGAATAAAAGTCAATGTGTCGAAAATAAAAAAGGATCGGTTTTTGAATTGAGGGAGAGAGAGAGAGACATCTCGTGAAGAAGGGATCGTAAGGAACGTATCGGTGACGGAAATTCCCTTCTACACGCGACGCGATATTCCTTTTGTAGACCATACCGACGAGCGTTCGCGGCAATTCCATCGGGAGGCATCAAATAAAACGTCATCTTATCCTCCATTGTGTAATCACGCTGTATTTTCATAGAGGCGAGGATACGCCGCGCGTTGGTGTCCGACGTATTTCCCGCCTCGTTTTTCTCTTTACTTTTTTTAATAATAATGTTTCGCAATTCTTCGAAAAATACCTCGCTTTAAAAAAAAAAAGACATGACGTAATCCGTCGCTCGCGTCACGGGTCTTTTTGTACGCGCGCGGTACGTTGTACCGTGTATAAGTTTGCAGTGTGGCTGACGCAAATATCACGAAGCTCATTATCGGAGCGTGAGCTTTCAGCGGTGAGCAATTTATCGTTCCGCGTTCCCCGCGGACGACTCGTTACTTAAAAATTGATAGCCAAACGATATTACTTCGTGTTTCGCTTGCTTTCGGTAAACGGTCCCTTTCGACTTGTGCAGGAAGTCCATTCGATTGCCTACTCGACATTGTTCCGATAAAAAACGAGAAGGGCGACGTTGTTCTGTTCCTGGCCTCGCATAAAGACATCACGCACACGAAGAACCTTCAGCTCTGTGAGTTGCACGATAGTGGTGAGTTCTAACCATGCTTCGCTGCTAAATACGCGCAGGTGGATCGATTTTAATGAGGAATGATGCGTTCTCTCGCGGCGCCGTGCCAAAAATACGACTTGAACTCGGAGTTTACGAGTTACGCATCGCAGGATGGGTAGGAATTGGCCCTTTTACGCCTTTCTCTCACACCGCGTTTCAAACGAGCCGCACACCGCGCGCACACGCAACACGCTGCTGCACGAATCACCGTCGCAACGCCGGGGGTTGGTAACCGAACTGTTCGGAAAGAGAGAGAAAAAAAAAGAAGAGAACAAACCTCAGAGATCTGCCGTAATCCTCGATTTGTCAGTAAAGTCCTCCTTTCGGATTACGCACGGCATTACCGTTAATAAGAGTGCTCGTTCGGACTCGAATCGTAATGCCAATTAGACTGGATTAGTTCGGTTACAAACTTTGCGCTGGATACTCACAGAACACAGATTCACCAATCGGAATTTGTATCATTATGCAAGAGGAACTTTATTTGCCGTGTATGCAAATGCTACCATATTTACTTTCGTACACGTGTACACACGTCGATTTTTTCGTTAGCTCACGTTACAATCGCTGCAAAATAATAACGCTCCGAAGAAGAGAACCCCGTTCTCGTCGCGAAATTTTTTTGGACTACACATATATTTTTGTACGTGCGCGCGTACGTATGTTTTGCCAGAACGTGTGGGTGTGCGTGCGTATGTTTCTATTTGCATTTCCTCCAATTAATGCTTTCTACGTGATTTTTATCCTTCAGAATACTTGGATATTTCTATACCACTGTACATAATCTCTCTCCTCTGGTCCAATAATAGCGCGATTTACAATTCCAGACTCGAATGGCAATATCGACCCTGAGGCACCGCCTTCCAATTACGGTAGAAGAAGAAGTCGCGCCGTCCTTTATCAACTGTCGGGCCATTACAAGCAGGACAATAAGCACAAAATTAAGCTAAACAATGTACGTCTATTTATTTTCTCCTCAAAATCTGCCATCTTTTGTGGGGGGGAAAAAAATTAACGGTTAAATTATAACGAAGCGCGGTAATTGAGAAAATAATGAGAACTTATTACCCGCGATAATGTGTCTCTCATCACGCTGGGAGTTAATAATTATATTTCACATTTTATTCCTAAATAAGATTAAAGTAATATATAAAGTTCTCCCCGACAAAGATACATGCCAGCAAGAGGAATTTACTTTCCCGTTAATTAACGTTCAACATTTGTAACTGTCACTTTGCGAGTCGGCTCGCACTTGGAATTGAATAATGTGGATAAAGGTTTATCGAGTAAGATCTCCTTTGGAAATTGCAATGTAACAAAAAGAAGCTTTAACGCGATTAACGTTATTACGTTATTATTCGACCGCCGAAAAATTCGGTAACCCTCAGGGCGAGAGAGAGAGAGAGAGAGAGAGAGAGCGCGCTTCCTCTTAAATTGCATATTATTCTAGACGCTTCTGCATTCAACCGCGCCGCCTTTACCGGAATACAAAACGACAACCGTCAAAAAGTCGCATTTTATTCTCAGCCACTACGGTGGCTTCAAGTCCTGCTGGGACTGGTTGATTCTCATCGCGACCTTTTACGTGGCAATAATCGTTCCCTATAACGCGAGCTTCATCAACATCGATAGGCCTACCATGGTCAGTGACGTTGTCGTCGAAGTGCTCTTCATTATCGGTGAGTATATCCTACCTCCAATTTTCGACCCTCTCGTGCCCTTTAGACCTCGCTTTATCCCTTCATCTCGCCGATGAGATTCTCGTCTGAACCGTAATCCTCCCTGGATCGTTCCAGGTAAACGAATTCTCTATTTTAGAAAAAAAAGGGGGGGAAAGGTACAATCTTAACGCGCCTTTATGCCGATAAACGGGAGTAATTAACTCACCATTCTCGATACTGTTATCCCATCTAGCGTCGGCAAATTACGTACATCGCGATCGGTCCGTTAAACATCGCGCTATATATAATCGCGTAAGCGAACGCACCATTTCTAAGGAAGAAAATAAATCAAGATCCAATCGTTAGCTTGTAGTAGAAATCGATTGCTCTTGGCCCTTTTGGAACAATGTTTCCGAGAAGGAAATGAGAAAAGTCCAACCCATCGGTTCAATTGGCAACACCTGGAGCTCGTTAGACCGAAACCAGGAGAAGCGATCAGCCGCCCACCTTTTTACATCGCGTTGTAATCCGTAACTTTCGGCTCGGCTCTCGCGCAGCAGCGTCTACCAAATGAAAACGTAGCGGAAGTGTTTTTTCCAAAATGAAACCTCCGAGCTAATTGACAACGAGCGTTTAGAGAGGGTTGAACAACAGGAGAGCGGTGCGTTTAAATCCGCATTAATCGAGTATACAAAGCTACTTTAACTTTTCGACAGCATCGAAAGAAAGTTACCGGATAATGGAACAGGTCAATTACGGGGGGATTTAATGATGATGGAAAAAAAAAGAAGTGGGTTTTACCTTTAGGAAGCCTTCGGTTTAATGACAAGCGCGCGCGCGCGCTATAATGCCGATCCTTTGATTTAATTTTTAAATTATTCGCGACAGTGAGGCTGCAGGCTAATTCTGACAAGCGTAGGATACTGCATTGTGTAAACGATGGTAAATAAACAACGTGCACTTTCAATACACTCGTTAGTTTAACATCGATTTTTAACTGTCAAACGAAATTGCGCTGTCACGAGGCTGAACGAGGCAGATAAAATTCGCATTAAAAGACAATCCGCATTACAGAGCTGGGGCGAACTTTTTATTTTCCTTTTCCATGCACGCGAGCGTACAAAACATTTTAATGACAGACTCTTTAACAAGTCGATCATATTACGATTAATGCGGGATTAACGAGTGGCGATATTTCGCGCGTACATCGGCGTGTGATATGTAAAATATCGACTATCTGCGACTTTTAAACGAGGTTACTTCGCGGATAAGTGGACGTGGAACGTGAATTTCGCGGCTGAAATCCAATTTGCAAATGGGATTAAAAGGCATTCATCGCACAAAGCCAAAGTTTCGTTCAGCTGCTTGATACGTTTGTAGGAATAGAAACTAGGCGGGACAACAAGCGGGAAAGCCGGTCCCCTCTCTTCGTTTATTTAGGCGTGTATAATACATGTGCAGACGCTGCGCTTTACATTCGCTCGCAATCACGATTATTGTCGCGCGTCGGGCTGAAAACAATGTTTTCTGTTCCGCGGGAAACACGCCTAATTGACATTTTTCAATAAAGAAGCGATTAATTGGGGGACAATTCGCGCAAACTCAATGGACCGTCGGTAATTGCGATTTATTCAGCAAGACTCGCAACCTTTTGCGACTAATATAATTGAAATGCAAAGAAAGTGCCTAATTATAATTATAAAACGTTTAAATTAAAATCTCACTTTCGTTGGTTGTGCAACTTTCGAGACTTTTAAGTCGATTATAGCAAGTCGGATACCCGTCCCGTGCGCGCGAAAGATTCTGATCGTTCCGTACGCATTGCGAATGTACGTGTGCTCTATTATTCCTCCCCAGATATCGTTTTGAACTTCAGAACAACGTACGTGAGCAGAAAGGGCGAAGTCGTCAGCAATAGCAGAAGCATCGCCGTGAATTACGTGAAAGGCTGGTTCTTTGTTGACCTCGTGGCGGCATTGCCGTTTGATTTTCTCTATGCCTCAGACGTTTACAGCGGCGAGGTAGGTACCTTTCGTCTCCGCTTACAAATAGCTTTATGAGTTAGCTCAATTTATCTTGTAATAAGGAGCAGGTAACTTTTACACGATAAGCTCTTTTCTCGCAAAATATTGAATCTACGATCTTGCCCTGCAATCTCCAGGAGATTGGAATCTTCACAGCACTTTTTAACTTTTAATCCAATGTAAGAAAAATTTCTCGTTCTTTTTTTTTCGTGGAAATTCAATTGAAACAAAAATAAAATGTTGGAGCAAGACGAAGATCCGAATGAGAATAGTTGAGTTACGGCGGAGAAATCTAAAAATATGGAACGGTACGTGGAATCTGTTTCGTTCCGGTATCAGTTTCGCGGTAATTGCTAATTTCAAATTTCCGTCAGGCATCAACCCAATGAGACGTTAAGCTAATTAATTTGCCCCGGGTGTAATAGAAAATCGATGCCTTATGTCCAGATTAATTGTAAAACCATGCATTATACGAAAATACCTCTTTACCAAAACGTTAATTTTTAGCTTGGCAAGTCACTTGTGCAAAATTGTGTGTTCATTAAATGAACAGAATTGCTTTTGCAACCAAATATACGATAAAAATTGCCGCGGCATCTACATTCCGCATCTTGCCGGGAAACCCCCGTGTGGGATCTTAACGCGTTGAAAAGAAAAAATGCCAGATTTATGTACAAATACCCCTTGTCGATCTCTGTTACAGGAATCGGCGCACAGCAACATTCATTTAGTGAAACTCACAAGATTACTAAGACTCGCGCGACTGCTACAAAAAATGGACAGATACTCGCAATACAGCGCGGTAATTTTAACGATGCTTATGCTCTTCTTCATCGTGGTGGCGCATTGGCTGGCATGCGTCTGGTACGTGATCGCCGAAAAGGAGCGACTGCGGAACGACAAGGATTGGGATCTGGGTAAGTCTCTCGGAAACCGCTTCGGCAGTTTATTTAATATTTGCGAGCTGCCTGCCGCGCGGAATTTTTACGGGAGATACCGTATTCGTGAAAGTAGCTAGATTGCCGATCCTTCGAGAACACGCAGGTATTCTCTATATCTATACAAAAACAATCTGAGGGCGGCCTTCGTGACCTATAAAAATCACTCGACGCTATCTACCTTGCGGAAGGATGTCTGCACATCCGACGTAGAATTGCGCGAACGGATCTGTACCGCTAGAAAAGATCCTCTCGGCGTGGAAACGTTTGCATAAGATTTGTGGGGATTGTTATCCGATAGTTATTGAGAAAATGTTTCAGCACAGTGATATAAAATCGTTTCTCCACAGTGATATAAAAGTACAAGCTCCGCGTGTCAAACGTGAAATATGGAAATGAAAATGCAAAACGGGGGAATTTGGAAAGTATAAAAATTAATGACTGGAGGAAATCTCACAAGTCGCCAGAAGTAATTGAAATCTTCCGAATATCACTTGGCCGTGTCTGGTAAATTTTTATGTTAAAACTCACGACGTTTCGACCGTGGCTTTTTGGTTCTTTCCATGTGATAATTGTGCCAATAATTCCGTATGGTAAATCACAACAACTGTTGTCAAACACTCAGTCATGTTCTGTCGTTCGTGAAACCGAGACCAGTTCTTTGGATTTGCCACACGGAATTATTGACACAATTGTCACTTGAAAGCCATGGTCGAAACGTTGCGAGTTTTAACATAAAAATTTGCCAGACATGGTATCAAGTAATACTCTGACGTTTACGAAAATTAATATCTACGCAGCTGGATAATGTTTTTATTAAATTGTACGAAAATGCAGTAGCCTGGCAGTTTTCAACGAGCAATTTTCAACGATATAAAAAGACGACAAACAGCCAAACTAAAAACTAAACGGCTGGAACTGCCGCGTTAATGTGTTCCAGGCTGGATACATACCCTGGCTGAGAAATTGAAGATATCGGTGCAAAACGTCACGCACACGGAGAGCTACATAACGGCATTATATTTCACCTGCAGTAGTCTAACTTCCGTAGGTTTCGGAAATGTTTCGGCAAACACGTTCTCGGAGAAATTCTTCTCCATTTGCACGATGCTGATTGGGGGTAAGTTTTGATTCGTCGAAGAAAAATGAGACTGTCGTGTTGCCTATCAAATTTCCTGGCACAGTATCACGAATGCTTAGTGTGCCAATAATCGTTCCTTTCTTAACATTGACGGCGATTTCACGGTAAAATCCATCGTGCATTCAATATACTCTTACCGGGGCATCGCGCGCACATTGTGAGTAAGGTTTGTATTTCAGCTCTTATGCACGCCGTGGTATTCGGCAATGTTACCGCGATTATTCAGAGAATGTACTCAAGAAGGTCCCAGTATCAGACAAAGTTACGGGATCTCAAAGATTTTCTAGTCTTACATCAAATCCCGGAAGAGCTGAAGCAGCGAATGCAGGATTACTTTCAAACTATGTGGTCATTAAACCACGGTATTGACGTGCACGAGGTAAAAGAACCGTGCTTTGTTCTGCTTAATTAAAAAAATTTTATAGCACGTACCGACCAGTGTCGTATCAAAGCGCCAAGTCGCAAATAGTGATGCAAATCGCTACGATGCTCGTTGTAATATGTAATCATTTTTTTCCGCAGACTCTCAAACAATTTCCCGAGGAACTGCGGGGGGATGTTTCGATGCATCTTCATCGAGAGATTTTAAGTTTACCGATATTCGAAGCCGCCTCGCAGGGATGTTTAAAGCTACTCTCGTTGCATATCAGAAATAACTTTTGCGCCCCCGGCGAATTTCTCATTCACAAAGGCGACACGCTTTCGTACATTTATTATCTGTGCAACGGATCCATGGAAGTTGTGCAAAACAGCATGGTGGTCGCAATTTTAGGTAACGAACGCGATTCACTTTCTTTCTTCCACAGATAATTTCACGCCTTAATTGGAGATCAGTTAGGACACTAAACTGATACGCAGCTCGATGCGCGGAGATATTAATCTGCGAGTAAACCTCATCCCTCGTCTTATCTTTTAAGGGAAGGGAGATTTAGTGGGTTGCGATATAAACGTTCATCTGCAACACGGAAATAATGGCGGCGGCACGACTGGATCTGGCTCGGTTGACGTAGTGAGATCCAGCTGCGACGTCAAGGCGCTAACATATTGCGATTTGAAATGCGTACACATGCAGGGCTTAGTCGAGGTTCTTCGACTCTACCCCGAGTACCAGCACGAGTTTGCGCACGATATACAACACGATCTTACGTACAATTTACGTGAAGGATACGAGGCAGAGGTAATTAACTTTATGCACTCCCTTGAGAGAAAGGAAGAGAGAATGAGGGAGGGAGGGAAAGGTACAGAGAGGTAGAACAACAAGAGTATCAGATGTCGTTTTAATTGAAGATATGTTTAGAGAGCCACGCTGAGAGAAGTTTAAGATATTTAAATATATTTTTCAGAAGACATATTGTGATTTTCAATTTTAAGTAGGAGAACTTGTTTAATCAGTAATGTACTTAATATGTTTCACATAAATTTTGATATGTACAAAGAGTAAAAGAACTCGCACACTTAATATGTGTGTATAAAAAGAACGATGTGAGTTATTATTATTTCGCAAAAATCGCTGAGCTAGAACTCTGTCCAGGTGTGAAATTTACCGGTCTCCTTGTCGCGTAAATTTTAGCAGGAGTCCGATGTAAATGGCCCGTCATTGACACTGCCCTCCATCAGCGAGGACGATGAGAACTTAGCCGAAGAGGGCGAAACTTCTCCCCTCTCGCCCCCGAACAAATCACCACTTCACACCTCTTCGAGCCCGCGACACGCAAAGTTCAGGTGAGTTCTTACTCAGAGGATAAAATCGGCGGGATCGCAGAATCTTATAAACTATGGAAAGCTAAAAAGGGAAAGGTGTGGGTTAAATAAACGATGATAAGATAAAAATTTCAACGGCGTAAAAAGGTTGAGATAATGGATAGACCATGAGAGCGGAGGAAAAAGTTAATCTGGTGGTTTAGGAGTTTTTGCCTTTTCACTTTTCCTGAGAACATTTTTTTTCTTTCGCGTCGATCTGCTCTCTCGGGGAAAAATAATAGCTGAAGTATATTCGATTCTTTTTGCCGATCAAATATATCCAACATTCTTATTCCCAGAAAAAGAACATTTCTTTTTTTTTCTCAGCGGTTTCAAGTATTTTATCAAGTAACATACAAGTGCAGGGTAAAGTCGAGGCGTAAGAAAAATACCTCGAATTGTAAGACGAGCAATTTGCCGGTTCCCTTTTCTGAAGAAAGAAATCCTCAATTGTAGGATAACATGATTTTCCGCACGAAGAACTTGAGCGTCTCCCAAAGTCGATCCGGTTTCAGACGGTGATATATCGCCGGTAAATTGTAGCGGAGTGTATAATCCACTTTTGGATTTCTTACTTCGGTATTTTCGCGCCGTGATTCCGACATCGTTTCGCTGAGCGTCCTCGATATTTCAGATCAGATACTCGCATAATGAGGAATAAAGTTAACTTTGTTTGGAACATCAGGGAGGACTACAGAGAAGGGAGACGAGCAGGAAGGGGAGTCCTGCTACGAGGTAGGGCAGCGCAAGTGATCGCGCAAGAATCCGTAGAGGAGCACATCCGAGGATCCGTGGAGAGACTCGATAATCAGTTTTCCACGCTGCATCAGGACGTTGCGACGCTCAGTTGCGAGGTACTTTATACGGATCCCCGATTTCAATCCGGCTCAGAGACATTACGCGAAATTGTTTTACACTTATCCGCCTATACCGGTACTTCCCTCGAGATTTCTTGGATTTAAATAAGAATCCGTGAGCACGCGTAAGAAATGAATGAACCTTCAATTGACTCGGAGACATTTATTCTGCAGAACTGAACTTGTCATTTCCGTCCCTCTCAGTTCTATTCGAACATATGCAAAGTACCCGGATTATTCGGGAGGTGCCCGAGGCCGCGGGATTAAAATGACGCGCGTTGAATCGACAGGTGCGCAACGCCATTCAAGCGTTGCAGATGCTCGCCTGCTCACCCCAGAGTAATCCGAATCTGCCGACCCCGGCGGCGAGCCGCGGCAGCGGCGTCCTCGCGAGGAGCTCGTCCCATCCCCCGGACGCTATTTGTTGGAATCCGCCGGCGAGATTGATCGACGCATCGACGCAGACGGATTGGCCGGCCGATCTGTTCGAGACGTGGGTGCGCGCGAATCCCCGCAGGGCCCTGAAGGCCCTCGGCCTCGATCCGGACGTCGTTCACCGGCTACCGCCGCCGTCGCCCACGCCGTCGCCGTCTTCGCCCCCGCCGCCGCCCTACGAGCCCCTGTCGCCTTTGGCGGCCTCGCCGCAGCAATCGCCCTCGCAGTCTCCGACCACAGGTAATTTCGTTAACGCATTTGTCAAAGGCATACTTGTGTATATAAAAAGAGGCGGGTTTATTAAAACGATTTCATACAAAAAGATCCTCGAAAGAGGGGAGGGGACGGTCCCTTGGGCGGGTAAGATATATACGCGCGCGTGGGAAAATAATATTTCTTAGGGGAATAAATGTATACCCTCCCCCGTGTGTGGACGAGATACTCATATATTACGAAAGAGATACGTCTCGTCGCAGGGAGGATAGTCGCTCATACGATTCCGCGAACATACGTTTCAACGTTTTTCGCAATAGGGATATCTCTCCGAGGAGGTAAAGAGTTTCTCCATTACGAGAAATGCGTTTTTCCACGAGGCAGAGATATCCCGTTGCGGGGGTGGTCGCGTACCCCGCTCGTGCATTTCCACGAGAAGTAAAGGGCTGCTTCGCGCGGCGAACTTGAACTTTGCCCGAGACTTTCACTTTGCAGAGGGAGGGGGGGGATACAATTCACTTTGGCGTCCTACGCGCGGGGGGTATCCCCTCGCGGGCAACCCTGATAGCACATAAGTCTCAGTTATGTTGCAGTTATGTTGCAAAGACGTTTCAATGTCTTTGCAACATAACTGAGACTTGTGCTATCAGGGAAGTTGCTCGCGAGTGTCTGCCCGCCGGACATTTTGCTCTTTCGGCAACAACGTTTCTACCCAGTCAGAAATGACTTGAAAGCCGACGTCGAAACGATATCGAATCGATGCATTTTTGGTTCCACTTTCGACTTGGCTCGAAAATGGAACCAAAAATGCATCGATTCGATATCGTTTCGACGTCGGTTTTCAAGTCATTTCTGACTGGGTACGTCAAGTTTCATGTGTTCGCCGAGGGGTCGATCCCGCGACGATCGTCGCAGACCGTTTCGCCGGCGGGGAACGTCTCAAGATACCTTTAAACCGATTTCAGGAAATGGCGGCTTCGTTTGTGGAATTACCCGCAACGCCCGGCACATTCCCCGATTGTACAGGCCGCCCAATTCAACCTGGGACACCGACAACACGGTGTGGCACCGCTTCAGCGCCGGCGACGCCGACAACGACGCGTCGCTGATACGTCTTCCGGAGTCGCGCTCATTGAAGTTCGATCCGTTCAACAGCTGAGCTGGTTAATTCACGAGGCCGCGTCCCGCTCAAAAAAATGTTTTCCCGATCGACGTGAATGCCGGAGGAAGAGGATGGCGGATTGGGCGAAACCTATATCAAACTACAAGACGCGAGTCGGGCGAATCTATCGAATCGAATAGCTTTACGCGTGCTTGAAGGGGGAGAACGTCTGGCAAGATTTCAATTCGGCAGCTTGCGAGAGCTGGTGCGCTAAACCGGCCCGAGCCACGCGTTAATTTCGAAGCTACAGGTTTGAGGCAATAATGTTTGATTGGCAGATTAATCGCGGTATCGTCAAACTGTTTGACATTTATCGGGATAAACATCTCGGCGCTTTAATGTTACGGACAGAATGGAATAATTTCTGATAAAAATCAAGCAGAGCGTAGAAAACTCCGCCGGGCTATTGATCGCGGTCCGCAATAGGAAACGGATGGACGGCGGTATATACGAGATTCATCAAAAAGTGGTTATTTCAAATCACGGCCGATAATGCGCATGCATATTCAGGCCCGTAATGTAATCGTTTATCGTAAACACGCGCTCGTTGACGCGACACTAGATTACTCGTAAATTGACATTTACGTTTCCTTTCGCCGTTAACGTCAATTCGTGATCTCGTTGTAATATTTAACTCTTGAATGCATCCGGTTATTTTGATCGCGAGACGAGACAAATTAAGACTGACGTAACATGCATATCAGAGCGAATATGCTTAGAGATTCTGTTTAGGCAACGAAAAAAAAGGGGGAGGAGGCGGGAAGTATGCGTGAAAATATTGTTTAAACCACTGTGTTGCGAATACGCGCGTGTCAATATCCAATTGCGATATCTCGTCCAGCGAAATATATAATTTATTAATATTACATCGTCATTTAATCCAAATCGATGATGAATAGATAATGTATCCCAGTAAAAATATTAATTTTAACGTTGAACATCAAATTGAATTTGAAGCGACACGTAAATACTTGAGGCACAAAATTTGTCAAATATTTTTACGCGATTAACGAGCGTTCTCGTGCAATGACAAATTTTGTTCGGGCGTCGTGCATTCAAGGGTTAAGCGATACTATATATATACATATATATATATTGTCCTAGGCATTTCTCACTGCCAAACAGGATAATACCTGACTTTACACGTCTCTGCTTTTTCGTTCCCGAAATAATATATTTGACCTTTGAATAAAATATGAGCTCTCGCCTCCCTGCGTCCTTCTACCGTGTGTAATCCTCCAATTTAATAATTGCGTGAAATGTACGTTAAAAACGTACGCTCCCAAACAATTCCACTATCAAGAATTATAATTATCCTACCCTGCCGTCTGCACAACCCGCGTAATGTCCTGAAAAGCTAGAAAACCCACATCTACCTATATCAACCTATGTGAAGCGTTTTCTACTTAATATTACATAATATATAATTTTGTCTTTTGTAGATAGTACGCGTAATTTCTGCTCATATAAGCGCGCGGCTTGGAGGAGTATCGGGTCTTCGCTATTACGTTAAGTTGCGTATCTCCACTGAAACAAAGTCGAACGCCTCGCGCAGCTCCGTCACGCGAAGCAATTCCATCACGAGAGTTTTACTCGAAAGTTAGGGTAGCAATAATGTGCACAACACATTTCAATGTACACGGTCGACGTCCAATCTAGAGAGTAGCATGTTCGTTAAATAGATATAAAGATGGTAGCGCGTCTTCGCGCGGAAGAGACGACGACGACGACGGCGGTTCGGAAGTGACGCGGCAGCCCCCGTCTTACAGCGCGAAATAACTTCGTGGCCCACTTCGCCGTGGGAATGCGCGTCCATCGTAGGCCGCGTCGCGAGAATCTGTCTTATCTAGCTGTAAGCAACTTCTTAGATTAATTCAGACATGTACATAGGGAGAGCGACGTTGAAAATATGTGATAGGGCACGGCTTTGGCCATGCACGACTACGTTCGTTCAAAACACTTCCGCCGTTATTTGTGAAAAGTTCGGCGTGCCGCAGCTGCTGATGAAAAGACGGAAATAAGTCGATCCGTGGATCATCACCGAGAGCGGTCAATAGTCACTGATTTGCAGTCATAAGTACACAGCTGAAAGCCGCGGCGGTGCCCAGTGAGAGACGATTCGTCGATCGATGCCGGATCGACGTCGATACGGCGGTGTCGATGTCGCGTCGACGTCGTCCCGACGAGTCACTTCTCGCTCTGGATATATTTATAACTGTTCAGTGATAATTGACTGATTCATTTTTAGAGAGTCAGCTCAATTGTTTGCCCACGCACGATCTAACGTGGAAAAATATGCGTACACAGACAGGCAGGAATGCCTGGACATTTCTATAATTATAGAATACATTATAGAAATGTCCAGGCACTCCTGCCTGTCTGTTTACACTGACCGGCAATGAATCGTTTCGCGAGAGGGGAATTGTGGTTCCCACCCCCGTTGATCATTCGTCGATCGGCTGGAGTGGAGAAGCGAGTCGCTTTCCCCTCTTGCGAAGCGACTCATCGCCGATGACTGTACGCGTCGGTTTCCGAGTCCGTCACGCGGACATCGCGCGTGATAATCGCGGAGGGAAAAGAAAAACGCAATTATGTTAAAACTTCGATTAGATACGTTATCAAGATTCACGAGATCTGAGATATTTTCACAAATATCGTTGGAAGGAGCTGTTTTATAAATATTTCATATATTTTGTTATACTATTTCTATGCTCCTCGCATTATAATTCAAGCTAGATATATTATGACGTTATATCTAAACACCCTTCATGACTTCTACCACTTTTTACACTCCTAAACAGGACTGCGAAGTAGCATTGAGCCCTCCTGGATTCTATCGTAATAAGGTCAACAAGCACAAAACAGTAATAGAGCAGTTTCTCTTCCTAATTATCTCGTCGAAGTCAAGGACCTCGTTGAAATGTCTTTAAGAGTATTTTTTGACCAGCTGGTGGAACGTACAAGTAAACGGGCGGCGCCGTTCGCGTTAATCCCATGCCGCGTACAGGCATTTTTCCGTCGTGAAAGGTTGCACGCGCAAAACGACGTAAAAATAGACCGCTAGAGTACTCCACTTTAAAGTATTCCGTTCCCTTTAAAGGAGAAATGTGGAATTTTATGCAATTTATCGGCAATAATGCGCGAAGGATTCGAGATGATGGATTGAGGTAGCGCGGAGGTGGCGCGATAAAGTCTGAAAAGATACGCGAATTTCGATAAACCATCTCGGGGGGTGGGGGGGGGGGGCTTGCGTGCGTACGCGTATGCATATATTCGGTGTAATCCTGCGCCGTAAGGGATTAACGCGAAGTATTATTGTGTACATACACACGTAACTGCGCGTGTACAAAAATAAGCCGCGAATTTACGTGCGAAGTCAAGGGATTATCCGATTAATTCGAACTCTGCGCAGTCGTGTTTCTCATTGTACATTTATCGGCAGGACTAGTTAGTAAAACTTCAAATGACGGCCTTAAAATAAAGATTTATTTTTTTCACGATGATAAATGTCTGGCAACAGGTGAACGTGGCGAGGCGGAGCGATCTCTAAAAGTGATTCGCCGAGCGATAGAACCGCGAAACGGAAATAAAACAGGAAATGAGAGAGAGAGAGAGAGAGAGAGAGAGAGAGAGAGAGAGAGAGAGAACAGGTATTTCTTCTACGACGTTAATCCTTATAAAAATATATATCTGAACGTTTGTAAATATTTTTAAACACTTGTACAATGTGCTTATAAGTGGCATTCTTTGTTCGACAGATGGGTTATGAATAATAATAAACGAAAAATAATCAAAAGCACCACTGTGTGTCCGCGTCTGTGGGAATGCGTTCTGCGAAGCGAAGTTGCCCTCCGTCAAGAATCCCGAGGTACAATCATTCAGTCGCAACTCGCGGAGAAAAGCATGCGATATCTCCATTTCGCGCAATTTTCCGAACCGGAATGAGCCGAAAAACCGAGAGTTGCGTAAAATACGACCTCGCGAGAGAGAGAGAGAGAGAGAGAGAGAGAGAGAGAGAGAGAGAGAGAGAGAGAGAAAGAGAGAAAGATCGGTCGATGTACGCATTTTTTTTCTATAAAGAATGAAATCGCGGAGAGGGAGGGAATCTGGAGCAGAGTTAATTTAACAAAAAAGCCAGGGGGGAAGTCTCGCGGCCGCGCGAAACGGGAATCGTAAGCGGACACTTCGGACAGGCGTCTACTCTCCGTCTACGGTCCGCCGTGAGGTTTCACCCTCGCGCGCGAGAGGCGAGAGGCCGTTCGCGCGCGAGCCTGGTCGGCGGCTCCTGGAGCGGCGCGGATGCCGCCGGACGCCGACGCACGGCGACCGTGTGCCGCGCTCCAGCAGAGACGGGACGAAGATGCGACAGATCGTCCGCGGATCGTGGCGCGAGAGCAGAAAATAAACGTGTTACGGGGGGCTCGCGGGCGGGCCATTTTTGGGATCCCCACCCCGGGGCGACGTGACACGCGTCCTTCCGCCGCGCGCCTTTCCGTTCTCCGTTCAGATACTCGTCTCGCGCTGCTCCGACCGCTCGGATTTTTGGTAAGTGCATCCCCCGCCGCCGAGAACCTTTTCCCGCAGTGAAAACGCTTCGCTTCGCTTCTCTTTCTCTTTCTTTCTCTCTTTCTCTCTCTCTCTCTCTCTCGCTCTCTCTTTCTGTCTACCTTCTCTGTCTTCTACGCTTTACCCCGTGACAGCGCGATGAGGAACGAGCTCCCGTTGGCGAGCGTTGGAGAACGGAAGTGGCGAACGGATGCGTCGGATCCCGCCGCTCGTCGACAGGATAAAATGGAATAAAATGGAATTAACCGACGGCACCCGATGGCTCCTCTCGGGGAGCTTTAACCCTGGATTTTTAGCGACTCGTCGGTATTTCGTAGCGGCGCCCGTAAGTAGTAATCTTCGCGAAGTAAACCACCCCCTCCCACCCCCTACGGCGGATGTTGATCGCCACAGTGAGATCAGTGAGAGGTGCCGCGGGAGAAAACGGCGCTCCCGCCTACGGTACGAGTGCCACGGAAACGCGTCCCCGAGGAGGAGAGGAAAGTGCTCGGAAAAGATTGCAGCGGGACGATTCAGTGCCGACAGTTGTCCTGCAGTGCTCGAAATTGGGTTGCCGTTTCTGTGTTCGTTCGTCCGCGCCCGCCGCTTCAAATACTTACAACCCGTCCCCCAGCAGCACGGTGCATGGTCCAGGCATCGGTTAAACATCGGCCCGATACAGCCGAATATACAATTGGTCCCGTGCACCGTGCTACCAGGGGTGTTTCTAACGTTTCGACCCTAAGTTGGTTTGCTTCAGCCCGGCCGCGTCTGATCCAATTTATTGTACCTGTAGCTTTTCACTCGACGACGGAAACGACGTTTAACTTCTTGCAGGAAGCTATAATCGTTTTCACGAAGATGTCTTGGAGACCGGGCAGCTTCGCGAGACTTTCTAACCGCCGGCAAATAATAACAGCTCTGCTAACGCTTGAGGAATTTGCTTTCGGGCTTAACACAAAGCAATGCCGTAAGTAGCATTCGTAACTGTCAACCGCGTGCATGCGCTGATCCGTTACACGCACACCTTTTGCCGCAAACACATCCCCCGAAACGATGCTCGCTTTGTGCAACGCGGCGAACCTGTCGGCTCGCCCCGACCGGAAGCGAAGAAATTGCACGTGCGAAGAAATGGCCGCGCGAAATAGATTGCAGGGCGCTGTCTTTCCACGATAATAAATAACGGTGTTGCATCACTCCGATGTGGGTTGACAAACGCAATCGGCACACGGCTCAGGCCCCCTCGGCAAGTTATTAATATCCCGGGCTCAGACGTTACAACCCGAATAACATTTTGATCGGCTTTGCGGCAAATTTGTAAATTCCTCAAAATAAATCGCCCGAGCAATTCGATCCCTTCGCTCCCGGCCGAGGGTGGCCATTTATTTTGCGCGGCGAGCAGGCACTTAAGAGACAGCTTTATACATATTGAAAATCAATATAACATATTATGCTGCCACACGCTATCTTCTTAACGGCATTTCTACTTTAATGCGTTCCACGCGTATATTGGGCGTTGTTTTAAATCTCCTCTTCGCGATAATAAATTTGATTATATTGCGTCACAAACAGCATTGCCTTTTAACATATTCGAATTTACATAATAATATCCCCTCCCCCTCCCCCCTGTGCAAATTGCCGTTCTTCGGCCGTCGGGCATTTTGTTACGTTGATTTTGTCGCGCGTTTAAATTTCTATCATATTTGCCGCACAAAGGCACGCGGGGGGGATTTTCTGCGCGCGCGAAACGCCGCGAGAGGCGGACCCGCGAATTCGCGTGCGTAAAATTCGCGCGAGGTGGACCCGCCGAAGTTTTGTAAAGTGCTATTAATACGCGTCGGTTAGATCGAATGTCGGTCGACGGTGGCGGGCCAAGTAAAGCCCGTTCCTCTGGGTTACACGGCACTCGTTACGTTTTGGCCTCTCCGTGCGCCGCGCGGCGTCAGAGCTTTTGCCGCCGTCGTTCCGCACATATTTATAGAATCGGGCTGTAGATGCTATTTCCGTAGACGCTCCGATGCGTGCTCCTCCTCGTGCTTACGCGCTGCGATCACCCACGGATTCGAATTATGGCTTTGCAGAACGTCGGGCCCGACGGCACCGCACAGGCCGCGCGCTCGCGGCGCGTGCATATTTTCGGAAATGCCAAAACGCGGCCGCCCCCGAGCGTACACCGTGTCCCGCAAGCGCAAAAGCGCGAATGATCCCTTCGCTCGGCCGAGCGACGGCGATGGAATTTAACGCGAGCGCTTGTATTTTCAGCAAACTCGGTAATTTCGTTGGTAAGGTCCGCGAAAGCAAGCCGCCACCATGGATGTCATCAAGAAGAAGATGCAAGCGATGAAGCTTGAGAAAGACAATGCTATGGACAAGGCCGACACCTGCGAGGGCCAGGCGAAGGATGCGAATTTGCGCGCGGACAAGGTGCTCGAGGAAGTCGCGGACCTCACGAAGAAACTGGCTCAGGTCGAGGCCGATCTGGTAGCTAACAAGCAGGCTCTCGAGCAGGCCAACAAGGACTTCGAAGACCGCGAGAAATCTCTCACTAACGTAAGCCTCATAACGTTATCGTCACATTTCGTATTTTATATCGTGAACAAATGGGGAAAAAAATAACGATAGTGCGCGTATTCATGCACACTCGACTCTTCCAGGCCGAATCCGAGGTTGCTGCCCTTAACCGCAAGGTCCAACTTATCGAGGAGGATCTCGAGCGCTCGGAGGAACGATTGAACACCGCGACTGCTAAGCTGACCGAAGCTTCGCAGGCCGCCGACGAGTCTAGCCGGTAAATTGTACAGCTGAGAACGATCCGTAAACGCTTAAGACTGTCTTGCTAGACCGGTATCCATAATCAGGTCTTACGTATATTCGTGACACCGCCTTGAATTTATCTAAAGGCACTGTACGGAACATTTCATGGGCTACGGAGTATCTAAAGATGATCTTAAGACAGTCTTGAATATGAGATCTGACTATAAATATCAGCCTTGGTCGTAAACGTAGGGCAAGGCAGAGAGAAACGTAAGTCGTGAAAGGCTATTGTATACGACTTACGTTTCTCTCTGCCTTGCCTTACGTCCACGACTAATGCGGCGTCTAAAAGATCATTGTAGACGCCGCGTACGGATCGTTCTCTGCCATCAGCCTACGACTTAATCGATCCATCGGCCGATGTACCGCATTACGAAATGTGATACAATTGCAGTATGTGCAAAGTATTGGAAAACCGCGCGCAGCAGGACGAGGAGAGGATGGACCAGCTGACGAACCAACTGAAGGAGGCCCGCCTGCTCGCGGAAGACGCTGACGGAAAATCTGACGAAGTGTCGCGCAAGCTGGCCTTCGTTGAGGACGAGCTCGAGGTCGCGGAGGATCGTGTAAAGTCCGGCGAGGCGTAAGTGCCAAATCATGTGGCTTGATGCCAAAACAAGTAAAACAAGCTCCGTCATATTTTTATAATACTTTTCTGTTCCCTGCTTTCTCGCAGCAAGATCATGGAGCTGGAAGAGGAGTTGAAGGTCGTCGGTAACAGCTTGAAATCTTTGGAAGTCTCCGAAGAAAAGGCACGTAACTCATAGTATGAATAGAGAACATTGTATATTAATACAAATATGAAAATACTTAAATTTATTTAAAATATTGATGATCTGTTAATCTTTGAAATGCTAATCTTTATCCCCAGGCCAATCA